ACGGATATTGAAGGCATTTGCTTTTTTTCTATTGCTCTAAAACGAAGCTATTTCAGCTACAAATTCGATTTACACTACTTAGAATAAAATGCATGACATTTTATTTGGTTTTTTTGCGTTTTTTGTATACTAATAAATATACATGAGTATAATTCAGTAATCAGTGTATAATATATAGTATATTCATGTGTTTACGATATATATTTATATAGTAACCTATATTATAGTATATATTTAAAATAGATATTAAGAATTGTAAATTCTCTATAAGTTGTAGGTAATCTTCAGAGTTTTTAGTGCATTCAATTTAGGGGCTTGTAGGTTATAGATAATAATATTATTATATTAAAATCAACACTTAGCTATAAAAATACAAAACTTTAAATAGCAGAACGGAATAAACAAATGAATAATCATTATTTAAGTAGGTACGTAATATTATAGATCACAACAATATTATTTTAAAATATATCATCATAGTAAATAATTTATTCTGAAACAAAACAAAGGCCAGTAATAGTTATTATTCCGACAATAGACCATTGCTGATTAGTTTTGAAAATAGTTATATTATTATTATCGTTTTTGAAAAAAGGGATTCTATACAAAAATCAATTTAAGTATAAAAGTGGTATTATAAATTAGGATATAATATATTGTTAAATACTTATGATTATGTAAATTGAAAAGTTTAAATTTCTATGCTTATACTCTGCTATATTTTATTTCCTCGAGTTATACCTATTTAAATATAATAATAGGTATGCTGATACAAATACAAGATTCTCTGATATTTATAATTTATCGTATTATTGTAATATGTAGAAATTAAAATATTAAAAATCCAATTACATACAAATAATGTTCAATGGTTAAAATGTTAATATTTTTTTCCGTAGGTTTAACTTATAGTTTTATATTATATTTGAAGACATATCGACTGATATATTGTCAGTATACCCGAATATACCCGTATATCGGTATGGTATCTATTACAACTATTACAACTATTCACCGCGTTATTTTTTTTTTTTTCCCTTACGTATAACATTCTTCTTTCTACAATATTTACACCTATTTATAATATATACAGGTATATATATATTTTATACACCACCTTCATATAGCTAACTATATGATGTATACCGCACAACTGATACTACATGCTACAAGTTTGTTGAGCAGAGGCTGGAAATCTTCCTCCGCATATAACTATATAGTATATATATAGTGATAATGTAAAAATTTACCTGATTACGATAGTTCATTGACAATGCTCTTCATAGTTATAGAAATATACTTTTTCTCATCAAAAACATATATTACGAACTAGAATTAGTTGTACTCCAAACGTCGTATCACTAGCTCATAACACGCAATAATCAACGCGATACTTTGCATACTATTGTTTTATTAAATCAGTATGTACCGTAATTTGTACTAAAAAGGTATAGTGTTATTTCAAGATGTTTAATTTCGAAGCGGTATTTTTATATTTTTTTATAAATACATTAGGATTCGGTCGTCGCGGTCGTCCTCAAAATGAATTGGGTATTCCTTTGCTATTTCCGCCGTAAGTTTAATAATATTATTATTATTATTATTATTATTATTATTTTATTTTATCATATTTGGTGTTAAGTGTTGACGAGCAACCTGAAGAGGAGCAGGAACCTGCGGATTTAGATGACGTCTTTAGGCGATTAGACGGGCTTATTGGAGATCACATGTAAGAAAGTTCAATATTATATATATATTTTTTAAATTCAATATTTGGTGTTTAGACGTGATGAGCAAGTGCCACCGCCCGTTATAGATATGTTAGATCTATATACTGCGGAAGAGATGCCAGTGACCGAAGACGAAGACGAACAATCGACAGATGACGACCTATTTGTACAGTAAGTTTAATATTATTATTATTATTATTATTCTTTTCTAACATTAAAAATATTAGTTATAGTAGTGACAGCGACGAAGAAATGTCTGAAGTCTATTCACCTGTCGTAACATCAGATGAAGATTTATAAATAGTGTAAATAGGTTAATGTAAATATGTTAATAAATAAATAATTATCAATAGTTTTTTATTATGAATTTCTATTTTACACAATATAATATAAATATAATATAAAAATATATATAATATAAATTAAGTACTAGATTCAGTACAAACTTCTAACAGCAATTTGTCGTCATCTGCAAAGTCTTCACCCCAAATATATTTGTCTAATGCTTTAAGGCATACATCGTCATTTTCTTCACCTCCCCAAAAGTCGACTTCAACACGATCCTCAGATATAATATGCTTACCATCGCTTCTAGTCTACAACAACAAAAACAACAAAAACATAATATAACGTCAGAAAGGTAAGTGCTACAATATTATACAATATTATGTCATACTAACTTCGTCAACTGAAATGGTTTCCGGGCTTAACAAATTGCTGTAATATTCCCGTCTCGGTGTATTTGATAGCTATAAAATTTATTATTTTTAGTTATATAAAAGTATATACATAATATTAAACGTACCATTTCATCCAACTCGCCATTTGCTAAAAATTCAATAAAACCTGTTGAAATATCCTGCGTGTTGATGGTAGATTCTGGACTGCTGTTGTATGACATTTTAAAAAGAAATTATAAAACGCTAAAATAATTGTTTTAAGTAAGTGCGTTCAGAAATGTACAAGCACTACACTGAGATTGATCATGGATACCTATGAGAGAAAAAATACATTGTCATACGGGGTTGGGTGGGGGTATAAAATTGCTAAGACAGCATTTAGCCAAAAATCTTTGAAACGTTGAATTTTGAAATGTGTGCAAAAATTATTATTATTATTCGGCTTGGCCATTGTCATAAGCGTTAGTAACGATCTGACAGTCATTTGTGTGTGTGTCACAGCCCAGTTATCGTTATATTTAAAATGTTTAAGTGCGAACAATGTGTATCTGTTTTCTCCCGGAAAGACATTTTAGTAAGACATTTAAAGTGCCATAATAGCACTGAAAAAATTAAGTGTTTTATTTGCAGCAATTTTTTTTAGCAGAAAGGATGCTCTAAAACGGCACATGAAAAGTATTCGCGGTGAGTACATTTTTTTCAGTATAATATTTGCAATGTCATAAGCTATAATAATGTTATGGTAGTCGTGTGGTTTTCTCATAGTCGTACAAATATTAGTCTTGTATAAGAAAAAAAATGTAATTAATTCATCATTATATATAAGACTAGCACACCACCGCCAATACTACATTAGGTATTGAAAATACGATTATACGGCTGTAGATGCTACTATTCAGAACGTGCAGTCAAATTGTTACATTCGGTTTCTATTTCCCGTGTTTTTCGTTTACTTTTATAGTCATACGAATATTATCATTAGATAACACGGCATACGTGTTAAGACATTCTGATTGTATTTAAGGAGTTTAGTATATGCAAATGTATGTACATAGTTGTCGTGTCAATATAATATGACGTTCATTCTACGATATTTAACCCGTCAGTGGTTGCGATGTGAGCGCGGCGCTCACCTCGTTAGTATTTTGAGAGCCATTTGTTTATTTATTACTTGATTCATCTGATACTATTTATACCTTCAATCGACACATATTTAAGTATACTTTTGCAAATATAAAAATTGTATAAATAATTCTTGATTAGATATCGACATGCAATGTTGTTAATATCCATAAATTCAGCGTTTCACTCACTCAATAGGTCAACCAAATACTTTTACCAAAAAACTCAGACCTATTTTTAAGTAGCACCCAACATTTATATGTGTACTGTATGATAATCAGCAAAATATTCCAGACCACTAAGGCGAAGATGAATGATAATGATTATCTTATTATATAATTATGTATAAAAAATTATAAATTAATTTTTAGTGGTTAACAATTTATAATCGAGAAAAATTGTAAGAACATTTTTTGTAAAAGATTAAACTATAAATAATTCGTTGTTGGTTTCAATATTTTATGTTCATTATATAATAAATAATGATGAAAAAACAACAAGGTGAGCGCAGCGCTCACTCAATACCAATGGCGGGACTTTACATAACGATACCAACGACGGGTTAAAAGAAATCGACTATTTAATGACATTAAGTGCACCATAAATTGTTATAGTGATATCGGTGTTCAAGTTTGAAATAATAGAGTATTGTTCCATTTTAGGTATGTTAAATATTAATGAACAGCCCACAGTAACAGTAGTACCAGCAGCATTACCTGTAACTATAAGTAAGAATTATATATTTGTTTATAATTGGGTATTATAATATTAAACTTCTATAAACTACATAAATACATATAACAATATAAAAGCGGTTATATTTGTATTTATTTTTTAGGTAAGCGTGTACACATTGACACACAAGTCGGGACAAAAAAAAAAAAAAAGCGAAACTAACAGAATCAGCAGCTGAAACTTCACTGTTAGAATCAAATTCAGATAATATAATGTGCGAGGACAGTGACGATGAATTGTGTGTTAAATTGTTTTATAATATGGCCGAAAATAATGATTTATGTAAAAGTATGATGCATTTTATATGTTTAGTGTCAAAAATAAAAATATTTATTGTTTTCATTAGATGACAATAATATAATGTACGAGGACAGTGACGATGAATTATGTGTTAAATTGTTGGATGAGACTGAAGCTAATGAATTATGCGAGAGTATGATAAACTTCTATAAACTACATAGATACATATAAAAATATAAAATTTTTTTTTTAGCTAATGCCAAACAACAGGATACGCTTGAAGTAGCCACCAACATTTTTGTGGAGAATATTCCAGCCGGACCGTCTACCCAAAGTATTTTAAATTAAAATTTTTATGAAATGCTTATACTATATATTTGTGTGTATTTTTTAGGTAAGCGTGTACACATTCACACACAAGTCGGGGCAAAAAAAAGCAAAACTATCAGAATCAGCAGCTGAAACTTCACTGTTAGAATCGAATTGGTTCAAAATGCATAATAAGAAAAATAGATTTATAAAAAAGTACAATGCTTATATGATTAATTATAGTATTACATTAAAACCTGTACCGGGGAGTTTAGATATAGTTAGTTTAAATGCACTATTGGAGGATGGGTTAGAAAATATGATATCAAATATTAAAAAAATTACAAACTTCACTGATTGTGATATCGTTAACTTGCACGCAGACAATCCGAAGTTTTTTTCACCAATATCTACAGACAATATGGCGTCTAATGTCTCAGGACGGAAAATTTTAAATAAAATTTGTAGTATATTAACATCGGATCAATCTGTGAATATTGACGAAACGGTATTCAATTTTCAAGTGGTTATAATGCCTAAAGGTGGCAAACCTAAACCATCTTGGGAATACTTGGATCTTTTTACCAAAAACAAAAATGTGTAATTCAAATTAATAATGAAGATGAATTGTGTTACCCCCGTGCTATTATAGTGGGAATATCGTACAAGACTGACGTTATATTGGAACATAAATTAACCGATAGCCAAATAAAAGACCTACGGCATGGTAGAAATAATATTCAAACACGTTTCACAAAAGAACTATGTCAAAAATTAGAAAAATATGATAACAGACCTTTTACATACCACGATATAGAAAATATAGAAACATTTTTAAACATTCAAGTAAAAGTCGTGAATGTTGATAATTTTTGTGAAATTGACTACTCGGGTAAAGAAAATAGAATTAAGATTTACCTATTAAAAAAAAAAAAAAAAAAAAAAAAAACGATCATTTTAATACGATTTATTCCATGTCATCATTTATGGAGCGTGTGTACTATTGTGAATTATGTGATACCATACCGATATACGTGTATATTCGGGTATACTGACAATATGTCAGTCGATATGTCTTCAAATATAATATAAAACTATAAGTTAAACCTACGGAAAAAAATATTAACATTTTAACCATTGAACATTATTTGTATGTAATTGGATTTTTAATATTTTAATTTCTACATATTACAATAATACGATAAATTATAAATATCAGAGAATCTTGTATTTGTATCAGCATACCTATTATTATATTTAAATAGGTATAACTCGAGGAAATAAAATATAGCAGAGTATAAGCATAGAAATTTAAACTTTTCAATATACATAATCATAAGTATTTAACAATATATTATATCCTAATTTATAATACCACTTTTATACTTAAATTGATTTTTGTATAGAACCACATTTTTCAAAAACGATAATAATAATATAACTATTTTCAAAACTAATCAGCAATGGCCTATTGTCGGGATAATAACTATTACTGGCCTTTGTTTTGTTTCAGAATAAATTATTTACTATGATGATATATTTCAAAATAATATTGTTGTGATCTATAATATTACGTACCTACTTAAATAATGATTATTCATTTGTTTATTCCGTTCTGCTATTTAAAGTTTTGTATTTTTATAGCTAAGTGTTGATTTTAATATAATAATATTATTATCTATAACCTACAAGCCCCTAAATTGAATGCACTAAAAACTCTGAAGATTACCTACAACTTATAGAGAATTTACAATTCTTAATATCTATTTTAAATATATACTATAATATAGGTCACTATATAAATATATATCGTAAACACATGAATATACTATATATTATACACTGATTACTGAATTATACTCATGTATATTTATTAGTATACAAAAAACGCAAAAAAACCAAATAAAATGTCATGCATTTTATTCTAAGTAGTGTAAATCGAATTTGTAGCTGAAATAGCTTCGTTTTAGAGCAATAGAAAAAAAGCAAATGCCTTCAATATCCGTACTCTAGTAATATATCATTTGGGCAATAATAAAAATACGATAAGAGGTGTTATATCATTATGTATAATATGTAAATACTATATTTATATTGTTTTTGTTATTTGTATTCCGTTACTCTGCTTTGGGTACATATTTATCATTATTTCATTCGTTTTTAAATGGATGAAAACTGTTGTCAGTATAATATTGTGATTGTTTGATGAAAATATATTTCATATTTGTTTTGTATATTAATAGTATATAGTTTATAGTATGGTACTAGGTTGGTATTACTATGTGTTTCGTGTTTAATAAATATTTTAAACATCATGTTTAGGTTATCAGTACTGTGGGCCTGGTACAAAATTGAATAAACGACTTATATTACCTCATCTTACACGATCAAATTATAACTTATAGTCCATTTAATGGTGATGTAAGGAAATTGTAAATAATTTGTAAAATAAAAATACTTTTTTAAATATCACGTTGTTTTTTTTTTATTATATATAAGTAATAAAATATCATATTACAATAAAATATTACATTAATGGTTCGCGTTTTTAAATAATTGACAAAAAATATGAAAATTACATAATAAAATATTATATTATTGGTCCGCGTTTTTAAATATAAATTATTGACATCAATATAAAATGTCATATTACAATAAAATATTACATTATTAACGAAAAATTAATGTGCGGGCTGCTTTTGCGGTTTCACGTGCTACGAATGCCCTCGTCCTCGGTCTGGTTACTTCAGACTAAAAAAATTTGTTTTCTTTAGTATAAAATAATATGTAAAAATAAAATCGTATTACCTCAATTTCGATCGAAGAAGCTAACCATCCCCTTGCCAATTGTTTGACTGCCTTGATTTTCAAATCTGCTATTAAACCATTACCAGTGAAATTGAGTTGTTTTTTCAATTCTTGGACATCGATGCGGGATAAATAATATTCAACATTGCTTATTTTTGTATCTTTGGGTAACGGCATTTCCTTTCCAAGATACATTGAAATATCACAGACCTGACGTAATGCACTAGGTCGTGTATATATATTTTTCATCTGAATAACTTCTTCCACGGCATCATTTAATTGCAAGATCCTCGAAACATTCTCTTTAGTTAATCGTACATGTTGATCCTGTTGCAAACACTTTATCGAGAGAACGTTGTCACCGTTGTATTTATCTACTGAAGCCAATTTAAGCTCCTTCAGCATTAAATGAGATGGTCGTGAAAAATTGATGTAGTTAAGAGCTATATTAATTAGAGATTTATAGAATTCAATACTCATTTTAACACACTGCGAGTTATTTGAGATGCATATAACGCAATTAAACAAAAAATCAGGATCTAATCCTATATTTATAAAAATATTGCTATCAATAAAGAATGTAGTACAATCGATCAGATTATTAGCCATTTTTGTTAGATACGTTCAAAACTGTCTCGAAATAAGTTAGCAATCGGGTACGCACACGACTCGTTTGACGGAAGACTCACGGCTGTATTGAAATAAGTCTGTGTCGCCCTTTTAAACAGTGCCACCGAGCGCTCGTTAAGAGTAGGGGTGAATCCCTACTCTACAGTAAGTTACATGGTGGGGATATGTATAAGAAAATAAAACAAGTTATGATACATAGAATATTTATTATCATTATTAATAAAATAATGGTGTAATACACTGAGTAGATGGATTTGCTGACTTGCAGTTGAACAGAGATGGTGGGGATGATGGCCGTCTGTTAAAATATGTCGGACCGTCGTTCTCATCAAAAGCCTATAAAAAATGAATGATTATTCATCATACAAATTATATTTTTTATGTATATTACCTTTGGTTTAGTTTTCCGAAGTTTAGCAGGATTCATCGAATGGGTTATTTCCTTGAACCTTCTCTCCTCGTCAGCTGCCTAAAAATTAAATTACATTTAATACTGAAATATTTTATTATTTTAATTTTAAATTACTCGTGACTGTGATAAATCGTCTTCGTTATATGTCATTAATGGAGACATACTTGAGTATCTTGGTGGGGATGACTGCAGCATTTCCACGTCAAAGGTCTCCGTATAATACTAAAATAAATAGAAAATAAGTAATCATAATAAAAAAAAGTTATATATTATTACCTTTAAATCGTTTGCTTCAGGCCTCCTCTGGGTAGGCGGGAGAAATTTTATCAGTTCATCATCATCATCATCATTTTCATCCACAGCCTAATTGAATGCATATGTTAAATAACTTTTTTAATATATATATATATATTCTTACTTTTGGCAAATTCTTCGTCATCCAATTGATAGCTAGCTGTTCAGTCGCGAATAATTTGATCTGGCTTATAAAACTATGTTTGTGCTTCGGTACATGCATTGCGATTAACTCGATATCAATTCCTTTGATTATTGTTTTTACTTCTTCCAGTGTCACAGATTTATCAATATTAAAATCAGTATTAAAGTATTCGGATATTTGTTCGAGTTGATTTAAAATAATAGGTTTTACGATATCGTTTTTTCTTGAAATTGTTTCGAAAATGACCCACTCTAATTCTTGAATTGTCATAAGATCTCTACGACTTAATATGATTCTACATCCGTTTGTTGTTTTTGAATCTATAACCAACACATGCTCTCCTTTATACACCATACTTGTAAGCAAAGCGACTTCATCTTCCAAAAAAATAATTTTTTTATATTTTACAACAGGATCGAGAACGTGTGACAAAACATGGCCCATGACTGAATAAATTCGTTTCAAGAAGTCTGATGAAATTTTTACATACCGTGACGGTGTAATTATTTGCAAAACGATATTGAACTGATCTTTTGGATCGAATCCGATGTTCAAGAATTTGCGATTTTTAAAGTCTATTGTAAAATTAGAGCAATCCATGAGTTCATGTGGAGATGTAGGTGCAACATAATTGTATACCCGTTTCATTTCACTTATTGGTCCTGCCATATTTATAAGCAATATACTGAGACTTACAACTTGACGCTGTTAAATCAAAACTGAGACTGAATATTCACACGATAGAGTATTAATTGTTAAACCATGTATGTAGTGGGGGGTTATGTATAATGTGTTTGGTAGTGGGGATTAGGTAAATAATGTGTTCAGCATTTACATGTATATATATATAATAAAGGTAGTGTGTTGCACAATTATATGCGGATACCCTGTTATACATGTGCACTCGTATTATTATTTGTTAACAGTAATGTGATAAGTGATATCAGTTTAGGGCAGAACTGCTCGCGGTTATATATGATAACGCATAGTAGCACACGTACGCGATCGGTCTGTTGACGGTGGTTTAGGTGGAGAAGTAGGGGAGGGGCGGTGACGGTAGCGGGCTATCTATGGCTGGGTGGTGAAGTGGGGAGGTGGCGGTGGCGGCGGCGGTAGGGATTTTTGAGTGAATGAATAGTCACTATTCATTACTGTCCGCAGTTGGTGTTATAGTGCTCTATTATATTAACCTACATCTCGTTCGCTCTGCGCTAATACTACGCACGTAATTATTATATAACGTATTAAAGAATGTAGTACAATCGATCAGATTAGCTGGCGGCGATGGTGGTGAATATTTGTAAGTTTTCTTGTA